TAATTCCTAATTATTTCTACAATGCCAGTATCTATTTCATCAGTACAGTCACTGATGAAACAGATATTTTCATCATGTACAGTCTCAATATAGTAGCATGATTTATGGGGGGAATTCAAGACATCTCAACTGACTTTTACAAAATTCTAGTTATTGCAGTATTACTGTATTAAGGTACTCCCTTAACCATGCACAGAAGTTGTGATAATTCCTGTAATACTTTTGCACTTTTATGACATAAGATATAAATATAAAACAATGTTTTCTTTGGAGTTATATCACGTCCAATTAAATTTAAATAATGTGCCGAGCAGCTAGAACTTACTAATAACAGTATTGAGTGCTTTTTGAAGTTCACACATTTTTACTGTATAACAACAGTTATGATTTGGCAATCATATATTAAGTCAAATGCCCATTTTATACTTTTTTCTCCTTAGATCAGTCAGGCACTCCATAGTTTTTTATTCTTGCTACCACTACAGAATGGCAACTACCAAATAAGATTTTTCTTTGGAACTAGCAGATGTCACAAAAAGTGGTTTATTATATATATTGCTGCATCATTCAACAGTTTGGATACTTGTTTTACCACCTTTCAATCTTTTCATCATTACTCTCTACAGTTCTTCGCAAACTTAAAATATGCTCAGTAAGTGCAATTTTTTAAGGTAGTTTATACCCTGGTCAGAGTATGGATATACATGTCTTAAAATGATCATTTTCCGCACGTAAATAACGTTCTTTTTTTTTTTTCTTTTTTTTTTTTCAATATCAGAAGTAGAATAATTGAAATTATTCACACTGTACTGAATTTTCTTCTTTTTGCCAAATTTCTAATTATCTAAATTTCTGACAGATTTGAGTAATGATAAAAAACATGAAATCTTCATACAACTAAGAACAATACTATAAAGAGAGATTTACATTTAATTTTTCCTCAAAGCCACACAACAAAATTAAAAATGTATTACAATACAACAGTTGTATTTGCAAAACTTCCTTAACATTACATCCTCTGATATTTAAACAGCACCATAAGCCTTCTTCGCGAACCATTACCAAATGGCTGGTAGTCCTAATCATGGTCACATAATTTGCCAACATGAGAACAACTCTGAATTGGCCCACTCTGTTAACAAGAGCCTCTTAGTATAATTTAAATCAAGGTGAACATAATAATAAGTAAGTACTAAGTGTTATTATCATGTGTTTACATTACAGAAATCAGAGAGGATATCAACCATAAATTTTATCCTTATGACTAAAGAAAACTGGGCACTTCTTCATTATACTGAGATTGAATCGTTAATCAATGAAGATATCTCACCAAAATCTGGCTATGTTTTCCTATACCTTGCCACATGATTGTATATTAGCACTTACTGCTTTTTCTTATACCTTCACCACATAATCTTACATTAGCACTATGTTGCACTTTTGCTCTCACCACGTGTTCTTATATTATTCAATTTGGACGAGGTTTTTGAATATTCCCCCCCTTTTTTTTTCCTTTTCTTTTTTGGTGTGTGTGTGTGACTATGGCATTAACAATTTTTAATTTACCAGATAATGAGGTGGATGCCATATACAGGTTTTTTATTTGACACATGACTATACAAAAATGGTTACAACACGAAACTTTATGTTAAAGACAAAATCATCTGGAGGTGTAATGTTAAAAATAGCAAAAACAAAAAGGGCTTATGCATTCTTGGGCAGAGGAGTCGACATCCATGAAATGGTGTAACAAACAGCTTTACCTTTTGAGCTCAGGGATTTGACTCTTGTAAGATCCTTAAAAAGACTGGGTTTTTCGTACCTTATGCTTTCCCCCTTTTAAGAAGTCCCTTGTTGTTGTCAACAAAGTAGCTTTTAGGTAGTTTAATTTATCCTGAAAGAGAGGCTTTCCTTTACGAAAGGAATGGAAATCTAGGAATTAGTGTCTAAATGCTTTACAAGGTTTTCCTTATGAAGGGAAAATTTAAAGGTGCAATTGATTTCAAATCAGACTACTCAGTGATATACAGAGAGAAATGTGTATACATACATGATAATAATAATAACAATAATAACACTATGTTATTATTGTAATAAGATGACTTGGTGAAAGAAAGTTGTAACGGATTGACGATGGTTCTCTGCATTATAACTTGAAGAGATTTACTGCTTAGTTAGAAATATGACACTAGAAGACAGATGTGGCCGCTTATTTAGTAAACATAATTTTATTCCTTGATAATACACATCATCACTGTGGGTGCGCTATGTACCCCCAACTTCGTACACCTTACATTTCTTAAACGAAGGACAAAATTAGAAAAGTAAACTCTGCATTGCAGTGTTATGCAGCTGATTGAAAAGCTGAAGCAGAAGAAAAAAGAGAAGGGGAGTTAGGATGCAATTACCTTTTATACCATTTCAGATCGCATGACGGATTAATGTCCAGATGTTGGGTTAAAGTTTCATCAATAAGTGCACATCAGAATTGAAGGGAGTTTAGTTAGAAAAATTATTGCTCTGTTAATTTTAGAATGAAAACAGGAGTTAAAGGGTTATTATTAATTTATTATTTGAAAGATTTTGAAACATAGATATTTTATATTTTACATATATACGTAAACACACACACATACATCCATATATATATATATATATATATAATGTCATTCTATTTCTCCATATTATAGGCCATACCTTTCCTTAAAAAAGTGTTTGAGATTTTAACTACTGGTTTTAATTTATTGTACCAAATTAAGTGAAATTAATTCTATTAATATTTTGAAGTTACATTACAAAACTCCTCCAGATCTGTTATTTTATAGATATTTTTAGTTTTTTCTATTTATCAGGTTTCCATCTAAGTTTTTAACGCATCTAAAATTTTTTCACAGATTTCATGACCCCATTTTCTTAAATTTACAAATATTCATGACTTCATAAATAAAGAAACGTCATGTAAATGTTGCAGTACACACAAATGTTATTTACTGTAATACTTTCTTGTAGTGTTTAACTTTTTATACTGTTATTTTACTGAAACTATCCAATCTTGGATAGTTCTAGGATATCCAATGGAAGGAATAGTTTGAGAAAACAAAAAAAAATCATCACTACATTAAATCAAAAATCATTGCTATATGATAAATGTACATCACTGCGTTAAATCAAAAATCGCTACATAAAAAATCCTTGCTATGCGATTAAAAGCTTAAACTGTATAGACATGTAAAATTAAAATTTCAAATATAAATAAATATCAAAAATCTATGCGAAAACGTAATGCTGAAGAGCAAAAGCTGATAATTTAAAATATGCAGTATTTAGTTCAAATACGACTTGTACTATACATTGTTTGTATATTTTTTATAGCAATTTTTTTGTACCAAAAAGCTTTCAAATTGGAAGGAGAAATTTTTGGGGTGTATATGATTTTTGTAAGAATGGGAAGAATTTACAAGATAATTACAAATAAGGTTATATTTGAAGTCCGAAGCTGTAAGAATGAAAAGGGGATTGATTATAAGGAGAACCAGATCCTTAACAAAAAGACCTTTGAAAGAAATAAGTGGGACATCAAACTTGACATTTCCCTCCACATTTTCAGCTGGGAGAAAGGGCAAAAAAGACATGACCACGCGGTTGCCACTCAAACAGGAAAATGAAATTCCCTGACTTTTCCATATGTGTTTTAAGAAAATTCCAGTCTATTGACATAATGCACATTGGCTGTGTTAAGAGATAAATTAATTATGGTACCACTTGAAAACAAAAAAATTTGGCAATTACATATATATATCTCCACTGAAGATTGAGATTAGAATCTGCCCAATCTGGATTAAAATGTCTTTTTTTGCCGACATTTTGCAGCTAAACGAAAGAAAATCTATTTAATGATATTTTTAAATAAATTCAGGTATTTTATATTTATTTAGTAGCACACATAAGCAAAAAATATGTGCATTAAATTTCAGGATTATGCCAGAGAAAATTTCCTGAAATATGAAAATATTATTTACTAATAAATAATGAATGAATTTAGAGAGAAGAAACAACATTAAATGACACAAATAACATTAAAATAAAGATAATTATTTAAAAATTGAATTAGAATAATCAACGATATTTTGGCGAATATAGTTACATTAAATGGTAAGCCTAGATGATTACTATTTTACTTTACTACAAAATGACAAATAAGGAATTTATTTAAAAAAATGAGGGGGCTGAAAAGATTTTGCGGTAAAATCCTAGTATATGCTTGGCACGATTTTGAAAATTGTCACCAACACAAAAATGGCCCATTTACTGCTCATCATAATATCCCCTAATCCTGTGTATACGGTACATGGAGGCTATTCTAACCTACATAGTACCCTATACTACGATTAAACCGATTTTATTTTATATGAGTATACGTATTTTTCTTAGTTCAACATGCACTGCATATGCGCACAGGAGTCTCTCGATACTCGAGGTTACTGGAAACCAAAAGTTGCTGGAAACTTGCTTTGCCTTTCTAAAAGACAATCTGATTAGAGCTGCGAAAACTGGCTCTATGCCAGCTGACCAAATGATGCTCATGCAATACATAATTTGCCAAGAAAGTGATCACCTCCAACGTCGTCACAAAACTCGCTTTTTGGGGGGAGAATAGCCGCATGAAATTCCCTGACTTTTCCAGATTTTGATTAAAATATTTAAATTCCCTGACTTTTCCCCGAATTTTTTGGTCAATTTTCAAATTCCCTGACTTTTCCGGTTTCACGGTAGCGTGGCAACCCTGTGACCACTAATGTGGATATCTCCGCCCTTTCAAACAAGGAATACCAAGGCTACTATAATGACCATTCCATCCTCAAAAGATTAATAATGTTTATAGCTGAGATCTTAGCACAAATCTAAAATCACCAAATATGGTTGGGGCCACTATAAAGAAGTACTAAAAACAGTAAATAAAATATAGCACATAAAAAATAGCATTCAAATTCAAAACTTACTTTATTGGCTGCCCACGTATTTCAGCCATGATATTACTTTCACCACCAAGATATTCATAACATAAACTCAGGAAATTATAGATAACAAAAGCTGAAAGAAAATCAATATATAATTACAATTATCATAAAAATGCACAAATAAATATAAAAATAATTTTAGACTTCTTAATAACAATCTCTATACTTTTAAAAATATTTATGGAGCTTTTCTAAATAAAATTAAAATTCAAACTAGGTAAGTAACGATTTTTTTTCCTCTCAATCAGCAATATTTAGCCCATGACTATTTTTTTTGCATAGCTTGAAGTAAGATTTTAAAAAAAAGTTATTATTAATTTTGACTACAGATTTTTTGAAGTATACAAATGTACAACCTATTTTTTCTCCCTCTGATAATGTGCATTGCGCTGAACATATTTAAACTTGAAGGAATAGTCACAGAGTTAACTTAAAAGGAATAGTCAAGCATGCAAATGCACAATTTTTTTTTTTTTTTTTTTTTTTTTTTTTTTTTTTTTAATCTCTGATAATGTGCATTGCACTGAACATTCTTAAACATATTTAAACTTAAATTAATAGTCAAGCAGTGTTTTCTAGAAATTGGTACCATGAGAAAATTATCCCAAATGAATTACTCCAACTGAATGATTTTTATCAGGAGAATCATGTCAACGATTGAAAACATTCAAGTAAACAGAAATTTTCCATATTCAGTATTGCAAAACAGTAAAATGAACAGATACAGTCAATTAAGTTAAAGAAAACAAACAATCGGAAGACCATTTTTGACAGCTGCTAAAATAGTAGTCATTGTTGTTTTTACACACAATATTCCAGAGTCAGCAATAACTGAAAATGGTACCTGCTTTCCCTGCAGTTCCTTTTAAAAGTGGTACTTATTATTTTTACAATTTACATATTATATGTCTTATAAGAATATTTGTCTTGCTTGTCTTGTTAGACACTTGTTATAAATTGTGCACTTCTTTAGTTTTAAATATAAATCAGTTGCATTCATTTTTCACCAGGTGAATAGTGATGCTTATCTTTCTACAACTGGGTCAATGAGGCATTTACAAAGACTGACTGAGTTTTATTTCATAATTAAATTGTTTTCTTAATCTGAATTAATGCATCCAGGTAAGTTAGTGCTCCATCTATATAAACAACAACTGAATTCTAAGATGGTTTAAACAACTTTTTACTTAAAACTTTAACTGAACAAATGCATATCTTGTGCTTACAATTTGCATTTCTGCAACTTGCCAGATATATGTTAAAACAATTGGATGCTGGAGACAATAATGAAAACAGCTTAACAAGCATTAGCTTAAATTTACTATACTGACTTCAGCTAGCAAAATGACTAATGCTGGACAACTTAAATTGCAAAGCTGGGCGAGATGACAGTACAATGGTCAGTATTGCTGCTAAAAGCACTCTCAGGGTTCATAGCCACATTTTAATTTTAAAAAAAAAGCACCTATAAGCACTTTTCAAGCACATTTTAAGAAAAAAATAAGCACCTGTCTAATTACATTATACACAACTGCATAAACCTTAAAAGAAAAATTAGACTTGCAATTTAAAATATGAGCAATGCAATATTTATTAAGAGAATGAGCATTACCTCAACCATGGAAAACAATTAACTTTTTTTTAAATTTTAAATGACAGTTCAATTTACAGAATTAGTTTACAATGAGAAAAAAAAAAAAAAAAAAAAAAAAAAAAAAAACTATGCAGAACTAAACTATATTGCAAGATTTAATGATGAACTTCCAGTTCAAAATATAAAAATAAATACTAATAATAAGCCATATTTAATTGTATTCGCTTGGACACCTAAATAATAAATTGCATTTTCTAAATAAATCGCATTTAAAAATAAATGCAATTCATTTTTCCACTCATATTAATATTTAAATAATTTAACTTAAATGAAAATTTAAGTTCTGAACATTTTCTAAATTTTCATTGCTATAACAGTTTTCCTCTTAACAATATATTCCAAGCAAAGTAATTTAACGTAAAAATAAGTAAAGAAAAGGAACATTTCTGAAATCAGAAGACGGGAAATTGCTTCATGTAGTCATCCTTGTAACAGTAAAAGCTTAACTAACCTGCATACTCGGAAATTGCCGAATATATGAAAATTTAGGTATAGTCGAGGGTAACTGGAAAAAGAGGAAGGGCAGGGAGATTGTAGCCGTTCTTTAGATTTCTCGGCTAAATAAATGATTTTGACATTTCAATATGTGCATCATATAAAAATAGACCAACGGAACTGAGAAATATTCTGCTTAGAAAGAACAGTAAACCTCTTTGTGTGTTCATAAATAAATCTCAGACCGAACATCAAAATTAATTATCTCTGCAAAATACCACAAACATTACTGCGCAACAAGGTTTCAAAAATATCCTATTGGAAAGTATTTTGCTGATCTTGATTGCGCAATACGTGCGACGTAATTCAGCCATACGTGATATTACGCAATCGGAATCAACAGCTGCCGGTATTCGGAGAATAAAGAACTAAATAAAGGAAAAGAAAGAGACTTACTAATCTGGGGTGTTTTTGATTCGAATTTTGAACAGACCGTTAAATTTCCCAATAGAATCATTCTTCGCTTGGGTTGGGTAGACCGCAAAACTTTTAGTCCTATTCAATCCAGATTGGGCAGTGACACAAAAAAATAAAAAAAAAAAAGCTCGCTGCTTCAATATTAGAGATTTTGCGGAGAAACGGGAGAACTTCCCAACCTCCGTACTGTATAATGTATTGGAAATATAATATATATATATATATATATTCTGACTATTCGATTACTTTCCTTTTATTTAAGCCATTCCGAATATTATTCCTTAGAAAGCTAATCTGTGTAAAAATAAACCCATTTTTGGAAGTTTATCTAAACTTCAGCAGCTACTGCAACTATATTATTATAAATATTCACACATATGCTCATAATATAAGCATAACGTATTATTTGGGTGGGAGGAAAAGAATACCGAATGTACCGGAATTTTCTACGATTTTCGCAATTCTTTGACCAACAGATCGACGTGCACCTGTCTGTACTCTCGCGCGCACCATAGGTTACGTTAATGCAAGGAAAGGGGGAAAAGCTATGTCCGGGACCATAGGTCCTATTCACCATCTGACGTTCCATATAAAGAAGAAAAGTTGTTTATTTAGTTTAGGATTTGGTACGGGGAGAAAAATGCGCGTTCATTAAAAAAAGCACTAAAAGCAAAAAATAAGCACTAAAAACAAAAAAAAAATAAGGGCTTTAAAGAAAAAGTAAGCACCTGTAAGGGGCTTTATATTTTATTTTCAAATATAAGGACTTGTAAGCACATGTAAGGACCCCTACGAACCCTGACTCTCCTTAAACTTTCAAGAACTCTCTCTTAAATACATTATCTCATTTACATCTTGGTGAGCACTAATGAAAAGAAGTTATAGTACAGTTCAAAATCATAAAAAAAAATGTATTAACAAACTATATTTCTCTACTGCAAGTACTTGAGACAAGACTACTACAGGTATAGTTGAACCTACTACAGGTTCAAAACTTGAAATAGAGTCCCAAGGCACTCTATTTCAAGTTTTGATTTTTTTTTTTTTTTTTTTTTTTTTTTTATGCTAATGCAATTAAATGCATTGGACCCAACTTTGTAAAATAAAAAATATACAAACCTTAAAATTATTTGGTTCTGAATTAAAGAATCAGTCAAAAGTTCCAATCAGTTTAAACGTTTAGCTATTCAATAAATATTAATTCATTGCTTGGTATTATAATGTATCTTGTTTGAAGGATAACTTCTTGAAGCTTGATGACCAACATTATTTTAGAGAGTTTACAAGAATTTTAAATTCCATGCACACTTTTCAGATTCCCAATTAGATTACATTAAAATAACAATTTTGATTAATTCTAAAACTTTGAGTTTCTCCATTGTAAATTGCAAAATTCTGGTTGCAATTTATCTGTTACAACAACATCAACATCATCACTGAAAACTACCAAAATAAAACTGGAAATAAATTCAAAAATATATTATACCAGAAAAAGATGTAGCTGCTAGAGTAGAAACATCTGCAACTTTAGCAAGTAAAATTAACTATCACTGTTTGTTGGAAATTAACATAGTATATAATCACACACTTGGCAGAAGTAACTTGAATGGAAGAAGTGCAGAGAGAGCAGACATTATTGTGCAGAGTCATCCAGTGGAACTAATTCTAAGTTTATATACTGCTTTTAAATTTGCATGCTAAGATTTTATAATTAACAGTACTACATTAAACCTGAAGAATCTCTTTCTACATAAAGTAAATTATACTCAATTTTTGAAGTAAAAACAAAGTAACAATAATTAGATATCATTTTGCATCAGCATTATTGCCTCATTCATAGAAAGACAGAAAGACATTTTAATGCGATCAGCAACTGAATATTCCTTTTTCATGGCCATTTCTTCAACAAATGCAGTTTTTTTTTTTTTTTTTTTTTTTTTTTTTTTTTGTTATCGCTCATGAATACTTTTCAGCAATTTTGCTGCCAGGAAATATTTTTCTACATATTAAAAAAAAAAAAAAAAAAAAAAAAAAAAAAAAAAAAAAAAAGACATTCTTTCATCTCCCTACCCAATACAATTTATGTTGTTTTTGTGTATGCACATATTTTAGTACATCAGCCCTTCTGTCAAATGAAATCAAAAAGCACAATGACAAATCGTACACATCAAACACATAATATTTTCTTGATGAATTAATACAAGAAGAATCATATGTGCACATTTTTGAAAAATAAATGATTATTTTACTTTGTTTGTAGCCATAACAAAGATAAAAATTCTTAAACAAAAATTCTCAAACAAAATACCTTCAACTAGCACTTGAAACTCATTCCATTTAGCAGCTCCAGAAATAAATAAGACTGTTTTGATTTTGCTTTGAGGTCACTGGCTGAAGGGCACCAGATGACCTACAAAGCATTTCTAGATACATCTAAACTCCAACATGCATAGTGGCAATAGTTAATAAATATTCTTCCCCCTTTTTTAAATGAGAAATCAAAAGGAAAAGAGCTGATGATTCCAGATGATGGAAATTGCCTTTTTGAGTGAAAATAACAAAATACTAAGCCAAACTAATAAATATTGTGAGAAATATGTTGTAATTGAAGTTGACAGAAATGCAACAGAAAATCGGAAATCCCCCACCTGAATCAGGAAATCTGGTAAGTCTTGTGTATTAGTGTACCACTTTAGTAGAAGTCACCAAATTTTCAGAATGTATCAAACCATGACAACCATGCACATCACTATTCCTGTTTTAACAATTAACATTACACTTTTTTTGTTGTTGTTTTTGTTTGTTACACCAAGTTTCAAAGGTTTTCTATGCAAATTGTAATATTTACTATCTTAAACTCAAAATATATGCATCTGCGGAATTCTGAAATTGCAAATTCTTTAATAGAACCGTCTTTAATAGAACACAGTTTGTCTGCAATAGAAGAAACTGCAATAACTATATTTTGCCATAAAATTACTAAAAGGAACAACTGCTTTCAATCTATTTTTCAATGGAAAAATCTGATGTGCACACAACATGACTTCCCTGTACAGAATATTAAATTATACACAATTTTTGCTACATTTCATTTAAACTTATTTCCTTGAATTTTATTAGAGATACATTTCTCATTCAATTAATTCAGTTTTCACATCATAGTAAAGCAAAAATGCATAAAACTTCAAAATATCTTTATTAAAAATTTCAAAATATAAAACACCAAATATAGTTAAAACAATTTAAAAAAGAACAATATTTACAAATAAATTAGAGTTTCTAAATAAAAACAAGCAATTAGGCCAGTGGGCAAAAAAAAGGCAGACTTTTCAGTGCACAAAAGTAAAAGTTTACTTTTGGTCCTACTCAGCAAAAAGACACTGAAAGTGCAAAAACTGACTTAATTCACTATTCTGCTACGTTTCAAATGTAAACAAATATTGAATATTGCTGCTATGGTTAAAAAAAAAATTACGCTTAGCCTCACTTAAACAACTTTTAAATTGTTAATAATTCTACAACTATTGCATGCAGATTATCTAAAGACATAAAAACTTTAACTGGAAGGTAAGAACACCATAATTTAATCATTTTTCAAGCAAAAAATGTGCAATTTACCACCATATAAGAATTAAAAAACCTGAGCTCACAAAGCGAGTAATAGAGTGGGTATATAATACTTTTGATGCGGCCAATTGCAACCAGAAAGGGAGGTGCACAACTATATGTTATAGCAATCCTATCTGCATCTGCTTTTCAGTTATATGAGATACAAACATACATACTGCGTACAGACATCACAAAAAAAAATTTCTTCTGAATCCATTTTAAATCCTTTTTGCAACCTGTTTTGGGAAAAAGAGTCCTTTATTCTGGCCTTACTTACAGATGTCACACAAAAATATTGGTAAATTGCACTCAACAGCAGTCAAAATGGATATTTACGTTGAAATATGATACCCGAAAATTTTTGCAATTCTAATACTTTGTTTACTTTGTACAAGTAAGTAAAAAAAATAAGTAAAACTCCATTTATAAGTAAATTTATTGACTGAATTTTGGGGATAAATACTTAATTAAAATGTACAATATACATGTAACAGGGTTGCCACTCAAACAGGAGAATGAAATTCACTGACTTTTCCAGGTTTTCCAGGTGTGTTTCAAGAAAATTCCAGTCTATCCACATAATGTACGTTGGCTGTGCTAAGAGGTAAATTAATAATGCTATTACTTGTATTGTGTAGCAAATTCACTTAATTATTCAATAAATCCCAGAGGACATTTATTCTTAATTATTCCTGGTATACTTTGATAATTTTGTTTAGTTTTCCACTTAAGAAACTTAATAAAATTTAAGATATATACATTGGATAACAAATGTATGTTTTATTTAATTAATACTCATGATCATCACCAGTTCAACACGAGGCTAATCCGGTCCTTATAAATCAAAATGCAATGCTAAATAGTTAGGTTAGATTTTAGGTAAATTTAATTTGCGTGAGGTATGTTCTTAAAAGGCACCTTAACACTTGAAAACACAAATATAATTATAATAGTTTTTGTTTTCTCCACTGAAGATTGAGATTAGAATCTTCCCCAATCTGGAATAAAATAAGGCTTTTTTTTTTTTGCAGACATTCTGCAGCTACTAAACGAAAGAAAGAAATCTATTTTAATAAAATTGAGGTATTTTATATTAATTTTGCAGCATACATAAGGAAAAAATATGTGCATTTAAATTTCGTGATGGTATGTCATCATACTGCTAGAATTAATTTCAGGATTATGCCAGAGAAAATTTCCTGAAATTTGGAAAGTATTATTTACTAATAATAAATAAATTTAGAGGGAAGAAGCAACATTAAATTATATGAATAACATAAAATAAAGATAATTACTTAAAAATTGAATTATAATAATCAACGATATTTTAGCGAATATAGTTATATTAAATGGTTAGGCCTAGATGACTGATTACTATTTTTTTATTTTACTCTGCAAAATGCAAGGTATTTATTAAAAAGAAAAAAAAAAAAGGTTTAAAAAGATTTTGCGGTAAAATTCTAGTATACGGTAAGGCTTTGTCACGATTTTGAAAATTGTCGGCCAAGACCAAAACGACCCGTTTACCTGCTCATTATAATGACACCAAATCTTGTGTGTACCGTACCTGGAGGTTAGAATAGAATATATGGAGGTTATTCTAACCAAAGAATGTCTAATGTAAAGAAGGAAAGGTTCCATAGATGTAATGCCTATTACGCCGCTAGAATGCGGAGGGAAAATTTGCCAAGGGATTCGGCGACGGAAACCTGGCGGCCAGAATTTCCCCTCTCCGCGATGTGTATAGGAAATTGAGAAAACACGTGTTAAGAAGAAACGCTCTTTGAAAAAAAGAAAGAAACTATCTGAAATGTTTCCAGATTTTAAATTATTGCGAAAATCCAAGAAACGTTTTATCAAAGGGCGTTTCTTCTTGGATTTTTCGCAATAATTTTAAAAACTGATTTTCGTAGTTTTTTTTTTTTTTTTCCCTGAAAATAACTAATCCATGAATTAATTTACTTGCACCAAAAAATATTTTCTTTTCCTTTAGAATAAACAATCTCGTTGTTAGGCGACGTGTGCACCACGTTATTTTCATTTTTGCGATAAATGCTTATCGACGTGGTGGTTCACGTCGCTCGCGGTTTGAGACAAAAGCATCTCGACGTGCGTGGCACGTCTTTTTAGCGCAAGTGGTTAAAGAAATTTTAAACGATATTCATTTTATGAACTCTTGATAACGTGACCTTCGAACTTCGACACCGGTTTCGAGCTTTGGCGACAGATATATCAGATATGCACAGCTGTTTCCCTCTATGATGGAACGGAGCCACAGCCACGTCTGTTGCAGAGAGGTTTTCCTTCTTTACAATACATATTCTTTGATTCTAACCTCTATGGTACCGTATACTAGGATTAAACCCATTTTGTTTTATACGAGAACAGGTACTTTCTTTAATTCATGCACTTCACATGCGATTCTCGAGAATACTGGAAACCAAAACTTGCGGGAAAGTTGCTTTGCTTTCTAAAAGACAATCAAATTGGAGCTGCGAAAATTGGCTCTATGCCAGCTACCCGAATGACACTCACGTGATACATAATTCGCCAAAAAAGTTCTCTCTTCCGACGTCGGCGCAAAAATCGCTTTTTTTGGCGGGATCGTTGTATGAACTTCCCTGACTTTTCCAGATTTTGACAAAAATACTTAAATTGCCTGACTTTTCCCTGAATATTTTGGTCAATTTTCGAATTCCCTGACTTTTCCCGGTTCTCCCGGTTTTCCAGATAGCGTGGCAACCCTGATGTAATAAACAATATTTTTGCCACTACAAATCATACTTTTTTTTCTGTAAAAAATTCCTAAACTGTGCTAAGTGGTTGAGCAAATATATAAGTACTAGAAAATATTATGAAAAATTTAAGAGAAGAATTCAGTAATGCCCATGAAGTCTTAGTTATCATTCTAGTACAGATATCATTGATAATATCCCATATAGCACTGAAATAATCTAAAATATTTTAAATCAACAGCAATGAAAAAAACTTAATAACGAGTGCCAATACACTTACCCTCATACCAATTTCTCACACTGTCAAAATATATGTAATACATATCATGAAAGAATAACAATGACAACCAAGAGTCAAAAGCATAAATAGGCACAATAAACAAAATGCGCACTATCCAGCGTTGCTCTGCAGGACTAGTGTAATAGCATAGGTGCAGATATATCTGAAAATAAAATTAATCAAAGTTACAGAATTATTCACAAATTTAAGCACTGAAACAAAAGTTGCAAAAAATGTTCACAAATTCATGTATTAAAAACAGAATTGAAGTGAATGACTTTCTTAGCATTTTATAGACAAAATTAAAATGACTATAATATATATCTGGCTACTATGCAGGATCATAAAAACATTTTCATGCATATATATTACACAATAAATACATACTGTCCAAAAATATCACTATAGAAGAATTTCAATAATATGAACGTTCTGGAACCGGGGATTGTGTGGATCACACATACTCATGTTCCTGAGTTTAACTCTTAGCTCTTTCTAATACTTACATAAAATCTGTACTGTTGCATATAAATTAATGTTCAAAATATGGGCATGAATTAAGATACAAAACAATATACTAAGAAAATAATGCTAATACTGGAGAGAATGCAGTGGAGAGGAAGAATGGAAAATGAGAGAGAAATATTTTAAGATATTAACGAATTCAGTACTATTCCAGTTTGAGGACCGTAAAAAAATTGCAGCGAAAATGTATGCGCAAAAGCGCCAAATCTATCAAACGCGCCCATTTAAACAGCGTGCCAAATCTTGCGTACGCGCTGATTTCAGATTGCGTTAAGTTTATATAGTTCTATATTTCTTAAGACGCCATTGAGATACTAGTTTAATTTTAAAATTCTTTTTTAATATTCTATGGATTTAACAATTTGAGAATTGCCCATGACGAAAAGTCTGCGATAGAATTTATAGATTAGATCTGCGATAGAAACACCCACTGCTTGACGCGTTTTTAAGAATTGCACATACTCGGTATCCACACATCAACTTATTTTCACTTAAAAAAAAATCCCTAGAAATTGCACAAAAATGGCACTGTGCACATCCCCTTGACTTTATCTATGTACACATTCGACCTATTTTTCACTTAAAAAGTAAAAGAAAATTGATAAAAATCCAATTGTTTTTATCACTTGTAAAAAGCAGCAAACAAATAAAGTGGGCGATTCTGCACTTTACCAAGAATTTTTTCAAAGAAAAAGGCATCATTTCATTATAGAAAACTATGTTTGAATAACCAACGAGATGAAAGTATGTGCTTTAGCGATAACTTCGGTAGCGAAACAGCAATGCAGGCATCTATTATGTTTAGCAATTTTTATATAAATTATAATATTGATTTGAGATAGTTATTTACTCTTATGCTTCCATTCAGTCATGTTTAGCAATTTTTATACAAATTATAATAATGATCTGAAATAGTTATTTACTCTTATGCTTCCATTCAGTCATGTTTATAGCATTTTTTATATAAATTGTAATAATAAAAAAGTATTATATGAAATTGACCTTTCATCTAAATTAAAACATCAATCTTAGATAGTTATTTACTATTATACTTCCTTTCTTGTGTTAGGGTTGCCGCATTTATTTTTGGCAGCACTGGCATCAACAATAGTTTGGCGATTTTTTTTTATGGCCCTCAAAACCGAATAGTACCAAGAATTCTTTTGTAAAAACAAATCAAATGTTTTGGGTAAAAGGAAAAAAAAATGTAACCACAAGCACAACGACATTTCAAAGTCACTTTTAAATGCAAGAAAATAAGCAAACAAACCAAAATTTTGACACAAAAACTCGAATAAAGTATTCCTTAATCTTTATGCTTCAACCATTATATTCTGCACATACGAAACTGAATTCAGAATATTACTAGCAGCTCACAAAAGTACTGGATTGAAATTTTAGATTTACTAATCCTTTTCAACCTAGTTTCCTTCATCCCCCCCCCATCAGAAAAATTTCTACGAGTCCTATTTTTAATAATCTATCTCATCAGTTCTCAAACTGTGGTACATTACAAGTAGTATAGTGGTACAATTTGTTTTTAAAGTTTGGTGGAGTTTTTGTCAAAATTAAAGAAGTTGCACCAGATGCAAAGTTCAAACATTGCAGCATACATCGTGAAGCATTGGATACTAAAACAATGCCTAGAAGTCTAAACACTGTTTTAGATCAATCTGTGAATTTTATTAAATGTCGGGCACTTAATTCACGTCTGTTCATCATTTTGTGGAATGAAATGGGTAGTAACCACAAAAAGCTCCTTTTATACACTGAAGTGCGGTGGTTATCAAGAGGAAAAGTTTTAGCTAACTCTTTGAAACAACAGAACAACAACAGAAACAACAAATGTTCAGAGAAGCAAGTGTTCTTAACAGAATCCAAATTTGAACTCCATCATTGCTTTACTGATGAATTCTGGCTATCATGTTTCAAGTATTTATCTGATATTTTTGGAAAATTGAATGAACTAAATTCTAGTTTACAAGGTGACAATATCACTGTGTTCCGTCTTTTCGGTAGATAGGTGGCGCTCTTGATGCGCGCCGATGAAAAATATTTCACTTGACGCTTGAACTTGAAGAATGACGCATGTCATATTTATTTGATGCTTGATTATGTTTCATGGCCGCTATAGGCGGAAGTAAAATACTATATCATTAAGTTTATCGTTAATAAATGTTATTTCTATGTTCTGTGAAATCTTGAAGTTTTGATTTGAAATTCTAATGCTCTCCCAACCTTGACTCCTGAAACGAAACAATCTTTGAAATTATGACTCATGAAGAGACACCATACATTTTTTGGTGTCTGAAACCCGCGAAAAGGGGAATTACCTTTTGAAAGGTAAGAATTTTGATTTATTTGTTCTTGTTATCGATCTTTGAAAACGAAACATAATGGATGATTTAGCAAAAGAGAAAAAAGAAACGTGCTATCGTACGTAGTAAAGTTACTACACTTCTAAATAAACTTGAGAAATTATTATCGGAAGAATTAAGTAAAGAACATCTAGAAGATCTAAATTCATCATATGAATTGTTAATTGAATACCATGAGAAACTTTAAAACTCTTGACTCAAAGATCGAGTGCTCTCATAATTGATGAAAAAGAATATGATAACGAACTACTTGTATGTGAAGAGTATGATGAAAAAATTAATAACGTTTAAAGCTAAGATTGTTGGGAAAATAAATAAAATTATTACAGTAATGAAGTTGTTGAAAGAAAGTATAATTACAACTAGTAATGGTATTAGTAGTACTCTGAATGGTAATAATGTTGTTACAAGTAGTGCTTCAGTAAAGTTACCTAAATTAAATATTGAAAAATTTGCTGGTGATCCCAGTAAATGGCTTCGAATTCTTTAATTCGTATGATAATGCTATTCATTCTAATCCAAGTTTATCTAAAATAGATAAGTTTACATATTTGAAAAGTTTATTATCCTGGTTCACGCATATAATTGTGTTTCTGGTTATGCTTTATCTGAAGAAAATTATGATCTATGTATTAAAAGTTTAGAAGAGAGGTTTGGTCGTAAAGATGTTATTATATCAAAATTCATGCAGGATGTTGTTACAGTTAGAACCAGTTAAAAGTTCTTCAAATGTTTTTGAGTTAAGAAAGCTCTATGATCAGTTACAAATCTGCCGTTAGGAAATTGTAAGTAGTTTCAGATGTTACTAGCGGTTCATACGGACAGTTATTGAACCCAATAATTCTTAAATTGTTACCTGAAGATTTAAGCTCGGATTGAATTCCATAGAAAAGAAACATCTAACCAAAATATAGAAGTAAGTGAATTAATAGAGTTCATTAAAATCGAAACTGAATGCCGAGAAGCAAGTATTTTGATTAATAGCTCAAAAGGTAATAAATACACAGGGGTTAATCCTAAATAAGGGTTCAAAAATTATAAAGTCAAATCACAAGCTTCTGCTTTTAACACATCGGTAAAAATGTTTTGCATATTCTGCAAATCAAACGAACATACGTCTGCCGGATGTTTGAAATTTTCCGACGAACAAAAACGAAACAAATTAAAACATGAAGGTCGCTGTTACAGATGCTTTCGTCGTTTTGTCGGTCAAAAATACAACCATGCGAAATTTGTAACGAGAAAAATCATAATAAACTTTTCTGCCGTTTGAAATCGAAAGAAATGGAAGATGTTAACTCCGCAGATACGCAAAATAAAACTTTAGTATCTACTTCCCACTGTAACACTCTAAAACCTGAAAATAGTGTGCTTTTACAGACATGTTCTGTTATTGCTCAAAGCAGAAATAAATCGAGAATCGTAAGATTATTAATTGATTCAGGTAGTGAACGAAACTTCATCACCCACAAGTTAGCGCGTGATTTAGAATTGCAAGTCATTAGAAAAGAATTTCTAACAATTTATTCGTTTGGAAATCAGCGCGGTAACTCGCAAGAATTCGATGTATATAATCTAAAAATAAAAACGATGATCGCTGCCTTGTTGTAGAAGCTATAGGGATAGAATTAATATCATCAATAGAATTCCAGGCGCCATCCAACATGTCAAAACATTAAAGAATTTATGACTAAAAAGGGTTTGGAACTTTCGGATACAAGTCCCGTTAATGAGAACATAAATATTCTGCTTGGCGCGGAGCATTTCTGGTATATACAAACAGGAAGTAATTCAATGATAAATGATGGTTTGTTTATAGCACCGACGATATTTGGATACACAGTGATGGGTAAAGTAAAAAATAATAATACTCGAATTAATGCGTTGTTTTTATCTGCCGTTGAAGGAAACACATTTGATTTGCAGTCATTTTGGAAATTGGATTCGATAGGAATTGAAAATGAAAACAAAACATTTTCGGAAATTGATTTGGATACTATTAAGCATTTTAACGACAGTTTAAAATTTAATAACGGCAGGTACGAAACAAAACTCTTTTGGAAGGACAATAAATCACAACTCGCTGATAATTTTTTCGTTGCTAAACAACGATTTCTAGGACTAAAGCATAAATTAAAGGGAAATGATTTCCTATATAATGAATATGATAATATAATTAGAGAACAAGTTGAAAAGGGGATTATTGAAATATAAGTTTGTTGAAAATGAACCTAACTGTTATTATATGCCTCATAGGCCC